GGAAGGGGAAGGGGAAGGGAAGGGGAAGGAAGGGAAGGAAAGGGAAAGGGAAGAAAGGGAAGGGGAAGGCGAAGGCAAGGAAGGGAAAGGGGAGGAGAGGGGAAGGGGAAAGGAAGGGGAAGGGGAAGGGAAAGGGAAAAGGAAAGGGAAAGGGAAAGGGGTGGGAAGCATTTGTGGCACACAGGGAGCGTCGGGTGGGCGGAGTTTATTGGTTCAGCTCATCCCCACCGCTGCCATCGCCCCGTCCCCATCTGCCCCTCAGCCCACAGCGGGGATGCGGGATGCGGCTCCTCCTCTGCCCGGCGCCGTCCCGCTCCGTTCCAGAAGCCGTGGGGCGGCCCCAGCGCTGAGGGGGGGGGAAGGGAGGGGGGCACAACCCCTCCTGCGGGGCTGCAGGCGGGTGGGAACCGCGGGGCCATCACTGCTCCTCCTCCTCCTCCTCATGGGGCTTCGTGCGGGTGAAGAAACCGAACTGGGGGGCGGGGGGGTGGCGGTGAGGGGCGGGAGAGGGATGTGGGGATGAGGGGAGAGGGGGAGGAATGGGGAGAGGGTGGGAATGGTGGAGAGGATGAGGGAGGGGGAGAGGGTGAGGAAGGACGGTGAGGAACGGGGGAAAGGATGGGGGAGGACAAAATAGGGGGAGGGGACGTGGGAGCGGGCGAGGAGGGGGGAGAGGACGGGGAGAAGGCGAGCGAAGGTGAGAGGGCGAGGACGAAGGGAGGGTGAGGATGGGAGGAGAGCGTGAAGAGGGGGACAGGGGACACCACGCTCCCCCAGCGCGGCCCCCCGCGCACCTTCCACAGGCAGACGCTGATGGCCGCCAGCAGCAGCAGCCCCCCCAGCGCGCTGCCCACCAGGATCCACAGGGACACGGGCACCCGCCGCTCCCGCAGCACCTCCAGCACCGTCTGTGGGACGGACGGCGGCCGTGGGGGGGGAGTAGGGGGTCGGGAGGGGGGGGGGCGGCTTCCGCAGCCTCAGCCCTCCTCCCCGCGTCCCCCACCTCTCCATGCCCCCCTTCCCGGTATCCCCCTCCTCCCGGTATTCCCCACCTCTCCTTCCCGGTATCCCACTCCCCCCGCAGCTCCGCAGCTCCCCGT